CCAATCTCACACTTTGGGGCTTTTTACCCGTGAATCTTCACTTTGCGACTAAACTATTCACAGCAGTGCCAACTTTTTGGGGTCACTGAATGTGGGTGCCAGCGCCCTACAAGCAAACCAAAAGTCAAATCAATGCGACCACTGACATTACAGCTGGGTCATGTTATAGACAGGTACATTGAAATTCAAAGGTCAGCACAAATGGTCAAAATCCGACATTTTCTCACCTTCCTGCCCGTTCACAGCTCAGAAAATGACAATGACCAGCCTCATCTCGTTGTGCAGCTGGACATAGACAAGTGCACCAAGAAAAAGAGCCACATTTCTCTAAAGAACTTGCCCAGGGCTGCTGAAAGCTGAAAAATAACTAATCTCACACTTTGGGGCTTTTTACCCGTGAATCTTCACTTTGCGACTAAACTATTCACAGCAGTGCCAAATTTTGTGGGTCACTGAATGTGGGTGCCAGCGCCCTACAAGCAAACCAAAAATCAAATCAATGCGACCACTGACATTACAGCTGGGTCATGTTATAGACAGGTACATTGAAATTCAAAGGTCAGCACAAATGGTCAAAATCCGACATTTTCTCACCTTCCTGCCCGTTCACAGCTCAAAAAATGACAATGACCAGCCTCATCTCGTTGTGCAGCTGGACATAGACAAGTGCACCAAGAAAAAGAGCCACATTTCTCTAAAGAACTTGCCCAGGGCTGCTGAAAGCTGAAAAATAACCAATCTCACAGTTTGGGGCTTTTTACCCGTGAATCTTCAATTTGCGACTAAACTATTCACAGTAGTGCCACATTTTCTGGGTCACTGAATGTGGGTACCAGCGCCCTACAAGCAAACCAAAAATCAAATCAATGCGACCACTGACATTACAGCTGGGTCATGTTATAGAGAGGTACATTGAAATTCAAAGGTCAGCACAAATGGTCAAAATCCGACATTTTCTCACCTTACTGCCCGTTCACAGCTCAGAAAATGACAATAACCAGCCTCATCTCGTTGTTCAGCTGGATATAGACAATTGCACAAAGAAAAAGAGCCACATTTCTCTAAAGAACTTGCCCAGGGCTGCTGAAAGCTGAAAAATAACCAATCTCACACTTTGGGGCTTTTTACCCGTGAATCTTCACTTTGCGACTAAACTATTCACAGCAGTGCAACATTTTCTGGGACACTGAATGTGGATGCCAGCGCCCTACAAGCAAACCAAAAATCAAATCAATGCGACCAGTGACATTACAGCTGGGTCATGTTATAGAGAGGTACATTGAAATTCAAAGGTCAGCACAAATGGTCAAAATCCGACATTTTCTCACCTTCCTGCCCGTTCACAGCTCAGAAAATGACAACAACCAGCCTCATCTTGTTGTGCAGCTGGACATAGACAGGTGCACCAAGAAAAAGAGCCACATTTCTCTAAAGAACTTGCCCAGGGCTGCTGAAAGCTGAAAAATAGCCAATCTCACAGTTTGGGACTTTTTACCCGTGAATCTTCACTTTGCGACTAAACTATTCACAGCAGTGCCAAATTTTTTGGGTCACTGAATGTGGGTGCCAGCGCCCTACAAGCAAACCAAAAATCAAATCAATGCGACAACTGAAATTACAGCTGGGTCATGTTATAGAGAGGTACATTGAAATTCAAAGGTCAGCACAAATGGTCAAAATCCGACATTTTCTCACCTTCCTGCCCGTTCACAGCTCAGAAAATGACAATGACCAGCCTCATCTTGTTGTGCAGCTGGACATAGACAAGTGCACCAAGAAAAAGAGCCACATTTCTCTAAAGAACTTGCCCAGGGCTGCTGAAAGCTGAAAAATAACCAATCTCACACTTTGGGGCTTTTTACCCGTGAATCTTCACTTTGCGACTAAACTATTCATAGCAGTGGCAAATTTTTTGGGTCACTGAATGTGGGTGCCAGCGCCCTACAAGCAAACCAAAAATCAAATCAATGCGACACCTGACATTACAGCTGGGTCATGTTATAGAGAGGTACATTGAAATTCAAAGGTCAGCACAAATGGTCAAAATCCGACATTTTCTCACCTTCCTGCCCGTTCACAGCTCAGAAAATGACAATGACCAGCCTCATCTCGTTGTGCACCTGGACATACATAGACAAGTGCACCAAGAAAAAGAGCCACATTTCTCTAAAGAACTTGCCCAGGGCTGCTGAAAGCTGAAAAATAACCAATCTCACAGTTTGGGGCTTTTTACCCGTGAATCTTCACTTTGCGACTAAACTATTCACAGCAGTGCCACATTTTCTGGGTCACTGAATGTGGATACCAGCGCCCTACAAGCAAACCAAAAATCAAATCAATCCGACCACTGACATTACAGCTGGGTCATGTTATAGAGAGGTACATTGAAATTCAAAGGTCAGCACAAATGGTCAAAATCCGACATTTTCTCACCTTCCTACCCGTTCACAGCTCAGAAAATGACAATGACCAGCCTCATCTTGTTGTGCAGCTGGACATAGACAAGTGCACCAAGAAGAAGAGCCACATTTCTCTAAAGAACTTGCCCAGGGCTGCTGAAAGCTGAAAAATAACCAATCTCACACTTGGGGCTTTTTACCCGTGAATCTTCACTTTGCGACTAAACTATTCACAGCAGTGCCAAATTTTTTGGGTCACTGAATGTGGGTGCCAGCGCGCTACAAGCAAATCAAAAATCAAATCAATGCGACAACTGACATTACAGCTGGGTCATGTTATAGAGAGGTACATTGAAATTCAAAGGTCAGCACAAATGGTCAAAATCCGACATTTTCTCACCTTCCTGCCCGTTCACAGCTCAGAAAATGACAATGACCAGCCTCATCTTGTTGTGCAGCTGGACATAGACAAGTGCACCAAGAAAAAGAGCCACATTTCTCTAAAGAACTTGCCCAGGGCTGCTGAAAGCTGAAAAATAACCAATCTCACAGTTTGGGGCTTTTTACCCGTGAATCTTCACTTTGCGACTAAACTATTCACAGCAGTGCAACATTTTCTGGGTCACTGAATGTGGATGCCAGCGCCCTACAAGCAAACCAAAAATCAAATCAATGCGACCACTGACATTACAGCTGGGTCATGTTATAGAGAGGTATATTGAAATTCAAAGGTCAGCACAAATGGTCAAAATCCGACATTTTCTCACCTTCCTGCCCGTTCACAGCTCAAAAAATGACAATGACCAGCCTCATCTCGTTGTGCAGCTGGACATAGACAAGTGCACCAAGAAAAAGACCCACATTTCTCTAAAGAACTTGCCCAGGGCTGCTGAAAGCTGAAAAATAACCAATCTCACAGTTTGGGGCTTTTTACCCGTGAATCTTCACTTTGCGACTAAACTATTCACAGCAGTGCCAAATTTTTTGGGTCACTGAATGTGGGTGCCAGCGCCCTACAAGCAAACCAAAAATCAAATCAATGCGACAACTGACATTACAGCTGGGTCATGTTATAGAGAGGTACATTGAAATTCAAAGGTCAGCACAAATGGTCAAAATCCGACATTTTCTCACCTTCCTGCCCGTTCACAGCTCAAAAAATGACAATGACCAGCCTCATCTTGTTGTGCAGCTGGACATAGACAAGTGCACCAAGAAGAAGAGCCACATTTCTCTAAAGAACTTGCCCAGGGCTGCTGAAAGCTGAAAAATAACCAATCTCACACTTGGGGCTTTTTACCCGTGAATCTTCACTTTGCGACTAAACTATTCACAGCAGTGCCAAATTTTTTGGGTCACTGAATGTGGGTGCCAGCGCGCTACAAGCAAATCAAAAATCAAATCAATGCGACAACTGACATTACAGCTGGGTCATGTTATAGAGAGGTACATTGAAATTCAAAGGTCAGCACAAATGGTCAAAATCCGACATTTTCTCACCTTCCTGCCCGTTCACAGCTCAGAAAATGACAATGACCAGCCTCATCTTGTTGTGCAGCTGGACATAGACAAGTGCACCAAGAAAAAGAGCCACATTTCTCTAAAGAACTTGCCCAGGGCTGCTGAAAGCTGAAAAATAACCAATCTCACAGTTTGGGGCTTTTTACCCGTGAATCTTCACTTTGCGACTAAACTATTCACAGCAGTGCAACATTTTCTGGGTCACTGAATGTGGATGCCAGCGCCCTACAAGCAAACCAAAAATCAAATCAATGCGACCACTGACATTACAGCTGGGTCATGTTATAGAGAGGTATATTGAAATTCAAAGGTCAGCACAAATGGTCAAAATCCGACATTTTCTCACCTTCCTGCCCGTTCACAGATCAAAAAATGACAATGACCAGCCTCATCTCGTTGTGCAGCTGGACATAGACAAGTGCACCAAGAAAAAGACCCACATTTCTCTAAAGAACTTGCCCAGGGCTGCTGAAAGCTGAAAAATAACCAATCTCACACTTTGGGGCTTTTTACCCGTGAATCTTCACTTTGCGACTAAACTATTCACAGCAGTGCCAAATTTTTTGGGTCACTGAATGTGGGTGCCAGCGCCCTACAAGCAAACCAAAAATCAAATCAATGCGACAACTGACATTACAGCTGGGTCATGTTATAGAGAGGTACATTGAAATTCAAAGGTCAGCACAAATGGTCAAAATCCGACATTTTCTCACCTTCCTGCCCGTTCACAGCTCAGAAAATGACAATGACCAGCCTCATCTCGTTGTGCAGCTGGACATAGACAAGTGCACCAAGAAAAAGAAACACATTTCTCTAAAGAACTTGCCCAGGGCTGCTGAAAGCTGAAAAATAACCAATCTCACAGTTTGGGGCTTTTTACCCGTGAATCTTCACTTTGCGACTAAACTATTCACAGCAGTGCCACATTTTCTGGGCCACTAAATGTGGATGCCAGCGCCCTACAAGCAAACCAAAAATCAAATCAATGCGCCCACTGACATTACAGCTGGGTCATGTTATAGAGAGGTACATTGAAATTCAAAGGTCAGCACAAATGGTCAAAATCCGACATTTTCTCACCTTCTTGCCCGTTCACAGCTCAGAAAATGACAATGACCAGCCTCATCTCGTTGTGCAGCTGGACATAGACAAGTGCACCAAGAAAAAGAGCCACTTTTCTCTAAAGAACTTGCCCAGGGCTGCTGAAAGCTGAAAAATAACCAATCTCCCACTTTGGGGCTTTTTACCCGTGAATCTTCACTTTGCGACTAAACTATTCACAGCAGAGCCAAATTTGTTGGGTCACTGAATGTGGGTGCCAGCGCCCTACAAGCAAACCAAAAATCAAATCAATGCGACCACTGACATTACAGCTGGGCATGTTATAAAGAGGTACATTGAAATTCAAAGGTCAGCACAAATGGTCAGAATCCGACATTTTCTCACCTTCCTGCCCGTTCACAGTTCAGAAAATGACAATGACTAGCCTCATCTTGTTGTGCAGCTGGACATAGACAAGTGAACCAAGAAAAAGAGCCACATTTCTCTAAAGAACTTGCCCAGGGCTGCTGAAAGCTGAAAAATAACCAATCTCACACTTTGGGGCTTTTTACCCGTGAATCTTCACTTTGCGACTAAACTATTCACAGCAGTGCCAAATTTTTTGGGTCACTGAATGTGGGTGCCAGCGCCCTACAAGCAAACCAAAAATCAAATCAATGCCACCACTGACATTACAGCTGGGTCAAGTTATAGAGAGGTACATTGAAATTCAAAGGTCAGCACAAATGGTCAAAATCCGACATTTTCTCACCTTCCTGCCCGTTCACAGCTCAGAAAATGACAATGACCAGCCTCATCTCGTTGTGCAGCTGGACATAGACAAGTGAACCAAGAAAAAGAGCCACATTTCTCTAAAGAACTTGCCCAGGGCTGCTGAAAGCTGAAAAATAACCAATCTCACACTTTGGGGCTTTTTACCCGTGAATCTTCACTTTGCGACTAAACTATTCACAGCAGTGCCAAATTTTTGGGGTCACTGAATTTGGATGCCAGCGCCCTACAAGCAAACCAAAAATCAAATCAATGCGACCACTGACATTACAGCTGGGTCATGTTATAGAGAGGTACATTGAAATTCAAAGGTCAGCACAAATGGTCAAAATCCGACATTTTCTCACCTTCCTGCCCGTTCACAGCTCAGAAAATGACAATGACCAGCCTCATCTCGTTGTGCAGCTGGACATAGACAAGTGAACCAAGAAAAAGAGCCACATTTCTCTAAAGAACTTGCCCTGGGCTGCTGAAAGCTGAAAAATAACCAGTCGCACAGTTTGGGGCTTTTTACCCGTGAATCTTCACTTTGCGACTAAACTATTCACAGCAGTGCCAAATGTTTTGGGTCACTGAATGTGGGTGCCAGCGCCCTACAAGCAAACCAAAAATCAAATCAATGTGACCACTGACATTACAGCTGGGTCATGTTATAGAGAGGTACATTGAAATTCAAAGGTCAGCACAAATGGTCAAAATCCGATATTTTCTCACCTTCCTGCCCGTTCACAGCTCAGAAAATGACAATGACCAGCCTCATCTCGTTGTGCAGCTGGACATAGACAAGTGCACCAAGAAAAAGACCCACATTTCTCTAAAGAACTTGCCCAGGGCTGCTGAAAGCTGAAAAATAACCAATCTCACACTTTGGGGCTTTTTACCCGTGAATCTTCACTTTGCGACTAAACTATTCACAGCAGTGCCAAATTTTTTGGGTCACTGAATGTGGGTGCCAGCGCCCTACAAGCAAACCAAAAATCAAATCAATGTGACCACTGACATTACAGCTGGGTCATGTTATAGAGAGGTACATTGAAATTCAAAGGTCAGCACAAATGGTCAAAATCCGACATTTTCTCACCTTCCTGCCCGTTCACAGCTCAGAAAATGACAATGACAGCCTGATCTTGTTGTGCAGCTGGACATAGACAAGTGAACCAAGAAAAAGAGCCACATTTCTCTAAAAAACTTGCCCAGGGCTGCTGAAAGCTGAAAAATAACCAATCTCACAGTTTGGGGCTTTTTACCCGTGAATCTTCACTTTGCGACTAAACTATTCACAGCAGTGCCACATTTTCTGGGTCACTGAATGTGGGTGCCAGCGCCTCACAAGCAAACCAAAAATCAAATCAATGCGACCACTGACATTACAGCTGGGTCATGTTATAGAGAGGTACATTGAAATTCAAAGGTCAGCACAAATGGTCAAAATCTGACATTTTCTCACCTTCCTGCCCGTTCACAGCTCAGTAAATGACAATGACCAGCCTCATCTCGTTGTGCAGCTGGACATAGACAAGTGCACCAAGAAAAAGAGCCACATTTCTCTAAAGAACTTGCCCAGGGCTGCTGAAAGCTGAAAAATAACCAATCTCACAGTTTGGGGCTTTTTACCCGTGAATCTTCACTTTGCGACTAAACTATTCACAGCAGTGCCAAATTTTTTGAGTCACTGAATGTGGGTGCCAGCGCCCTACAAGCAAACCAAAAATCAAATCAATGCGACCACTGACATTACAGCTGGGTCATGTTATAGAGAGGTACATTGAAATTCAAAGGTCAGCACAAATGGTCAAAATCCGACATTTTCTCACCTTCCTGCCCGTTCACAGCTCAGAAATTGACAATGACCAGCCTCATCTCGTTGTGCAGCTGGACATAGACAAGTGAACCAAGAAAAAGAGCCACATTTCTCTAAAGAACTTGCCCAGGGCTGCTGAAAGCTGAAAAATAACCAATCTCACAGTTTGGGGCTTTTTACCCGTGAATCTTCACTTTGCGACTAAACTATTCACAGCAGTGCCACATTTTCTGGGTCACTGAATGTGGGTGCCAGCGCCCTACAAGCAAACCAAAAATCAAATCAATGCGACCACTGACATTACAGCTGGGTCATGTTATAGAGAGGTACATTGAAATTCAAAGGTCAGCACAAATGGTCAAAATCCGACATTTTCTCACCTTCCTGCCCGTTCACAGCTCAGAAAATGACAATGACCAGCCTCATCTCGTTGTGCAGCTGGACATAGACAAGTGCACCAAGAAAAAGACCCACATTTCTCTAAAGAACTTGCCCAGGGCTGCTGAAAGCTGAAAAATAACCAATCTCACAGTTTGGGGCTTTTTACCCGTGAATCTTCACTTTGCGACTAAACTATTCACAGCAGTTTTTTGGGTCACTGAATGTGGGTGCCAGCGCCCTACAAGCAAACCAAAAATCAAATCAATGTGACCACTGACATTACAGCTGGGTCATGTTATAGAGAGGTACATTGAAATTCAAAGGTCAGCACAAATGGTCAAAATCCGACATTTTCTCACCTTCCTGCCCGTTCACAGCTCAGAAAATGACAATGACCAGCCTCATCTCGTTGTGCAGCTGGACATAGACAAGTGAACCAAAAAAAGAGCCACATTTCTCTAAAGAACTTGCCCAGGGCTGCTGAAAGCTGAAAAATAACCAATCTCACAGTTTGGGGCTTTTTACCCGTGAATCTTCACTTTGCGACTAAACTACTTCCTCCGTTAACGAAAACTTCATGATAGAATTTTGAGGGACTGATTTGGGCACAAATTGCCGTGAAATGAGTCGCAATCACTTTCTTGGCCTTCCCTGGCATGCCATGACAGAGGTACGATGCAAGGAAGGCGACCTTTCACAACAAGCCAAGCGGAATCAATAGTTGCGCTGTGGAAACATAGGTGATGACAGTCATGGCGAGCGAAACTGAAATACCACTTCTCCGAGGGGATATTGCGCTGCTTGGCCTCTCTACTACTTTAGCACTGAGTACGTTGGAGAGTGACAGAGAGCGATAAAACGGAGCATCGAGCCCACACAATGAGCGAGTTCACAAGGAGCTGTTCCGATCGCACGGCTCAATGATAATAATTCTGAACTCAAGTTCTTGTTCAACATGCGCAAAGCCCAGATTTGAATGCTGACGACCATGCATTCTTTCAGAAGTCTGCAAGCCGATGCGAGTCTCGTGGCTAAAGAAAGTCGACTGGACTTGCTAGCCGCTGCCGTTCAGTGCTGGTATCCATTAGAGAAAATGGAATCAGTTTGGCTGTGCCTTTACTCCTCGTTTCGCGGAGTTCTGGAGAGCGAAGATGAAACCAGGGAGTCGTAAAATATTTTTCACGACCCCCTGGTGGAAACGAGTAATCGCCATCGCGGCGGATTACGCAGCTTGAAAGCAAACTTACTTGAACGACGGCGACATCAAGCGGAGTGTGATCAAAGAAGCCGAGGCAAGGCTGAAACGAGCTGAACAACGACTCGAGAGAGATGACGACGCGCGTACACCCAGATGACGACTCGCGTTCAGCAGATGACGACAGCGACGCAGGTCAAAAATGAATCGAGCGAAAGCGACGCAAACTGAACTCTCTGCTCATTCCGCCAACAGTTTCTCTTGTAAAGATGCTGTACATAGGCTGAATCACCTTAGTCCAGTGATTTGCAGTCGATACAAACTGTTCTTGACCTGTTCTAAGCGTTTTCATATCCATCAAAATCCATCACGAAGTTTTTGTTAACGGAGGAAGTATTCAAAGCAGTGCCACATTTTCTGGGTCACTGAATGTGGATGCCAGCGCCCTACAAGAAAACTAAAAATCAAATCAATGCGACCACTGACATTACAGCTGGGTCATGTTATAGAGAGGTACATTGAAATTCAAAGGTCAGCACAAATGGTCAAAATCCGACATTTTCTCACCTTCCTGCCCGTTCACAGCTCAGAAAATGACAATAACTAGCCTCATCTCGCTGTTCAGCTTGACATAGACAAGTGCATCAGGAAATCGAGCCACATTTCTCTAAAGAACTTGCCCAGGGCTGCTGAAAGCTGAAAAATAACCAATCTCACACTTTGGGGCTTTTTACCCATGAATCTTCACTTTGCGACTAAACTACTTGGTCCGCGTCAGCAATATTGTCGCTTATCTTTCGACAATTTGAACTTAGACTTTGGACATGAACGTGTGCACTTGAAGTGATAAAACTTGGCACGATGGACGGTAAGGTAAAGAATGACAACTAGCTGCGAGGAATTTATTGTCCAAGGAAGGGTTCCTACTTTTTTTGGTCCTCCTCGTCGCTGCTCTCGGCGCTGGCGACAAATATTTTTGCTCGGGATCGACTCTCTTGCTTTTGCAAGCTCATCTCTCTTCCTCTCCGCTGCCTGGCTATTTTCTAAAGAGAAGTCGATCGTGACGGTCGCCTTCTCTATAGGACTTCGCGCGGGCAGCACGACAGCCTGTGTTGTTCAAATCAGACGCCGTTCTTTGCAAGATTTTAATTTGAACGACGACGATGCGTACAGTACTTGCAAATCTCGCCGACGCGCTGGATACTCCGAGCGGTGAGCTGGAGGTAAGGGAGCTGCAATCTCAGCTTGATGAGCGATCCCTGAGGTGAGTGATCTCGGC